AAAGAATAATTATTGTTGGGCCCCCTGGTGCACGCCCCCCTCGCCGCGCCTAGGCCGCAGCCACATTTTCATCATTTTCGTGAGGCAGTCTCAGGCAAAACGGGGGAGTCCGGATCCGGTTGTTTTGTTGACGCCCGCTTTCCCTGTCAAAAAACAATTTAAAATGACATGTCTTGTTCTAACATAACCAAACTTCAAGAATCCTTTGCAAAAAATGACACGAAGTGCACACTCGCGCGCGCAAGATGAAATCCTTCCAAAACCTTAGTTTTCGTAGCGATTTTAACAAAAAACATGAAAAACCCAATGGTTTTTCAAAAAAAAAGCTTCAAAAATTCATCCCGCGCGCTCTTGCGGATGTCTTAGGAAACCCAATACTTTTTCAACATTTCTGTCAAACGGGCTCTTGCGAGCAACTTTTTCACGTGCTTCGAACTTCTGCAACAACGGTTGCGCGCCTGCCAGGGCCATCATCCCTGTCAAATAATACCATATGGGACACATTCGTTTTTTCTTCGCGCGCGCACGCCGAAATCTTCAATTGCAGGGGGAAAAGTCGTATACTAAGCTAGCTTACAGAAAATGTTACCACAACAAGTCATTGTACCCATGCGCCAGTGTAGTAGCCAAGGTCGTCCGCAGGCCACGAAGTGAGGTGTCCGAACGTCATAGGGCGGGAAGCTGGGTGTGGGTGGTGGCGAAGAGTCGTTTGGAAATTTGGTAGAGCTTGAACCGGCCCCCCCACAAAGTGGGGGTATTGCCCGCCTCCTATGAAAACCCTGGCACTGGTGAGAACGGAGTGTCCCCACGTGCTAGTAATTGTTGTTGTTGTTGTTGTTGTTGTTGTTGTTGTTGTTGTCGCTTCTGTTTTTGTTGTTGCTCTTTTTGTTGGTGTTGGTGTTGTTGTAGTTGGTGTTGTTGAGCTCTCACGAGTAAAGATTAATTATTGTTGATCCCCCTGGTGACCCTTATGCTTTTTCCATTGAAATGATTTCCCGGGGGCACGCACTTTTTGATTCGTTTTGTTTGTTTGCTGGTTTTCTATATATATAGAGAGAGATGTGTATCTTTATATATAAAACACAAAACCAGGGGAAGTCACTAAACTCAAACTGTGCCCCTGGCCCCCAGGTTACAATAACAACGGTTCCCGGCAGTGACTTCCTCACAATTTAGCCAGGACCCCCGCTCCCGCCTGAGGCTTCCATGCATTTTGCTCAGGAATCGCGCTCTCGCTTTGGAACTCCAAACAATTTACTCCGGAATCCCTCTCTTTGAGTCGCGCTCTCGCTGGAGACTTGCTTGCAAATTACTCAAGATTCGCGCTCTGGCGTTGGAGCTCCCCGCCATTTCGTCAAGCGCACCGCTCCCCACACTCAGGCCCCCAGGAGTCGCGCTCACGCTTAGGACTCCCTCACAGCAGACATAGGAATCGGAATCTCGCTGCCCTTCGTGGCCCCGTTGCAGCCCTTCGTGGCCCCTTCGTTGCCCTTCGTGGACCCGTTGCAGCCTTTCCCCCCCGCTGCCCTTCGTGGCCCAGTTGCAGCCCTTCGTGGCCCCCTCACTGCCTTTCGCGGCCCCGTTTCGGCCCTTCGTGGCCCCTCTCGCTGCCCTTCGTGGCCCCGTTGCAGCCCTTCGTGGCCTCCTCGCTGCCCTTCGTGGCCCCGTTGCAGCCTTTCGTGGCCCCCTCGCTGCCCTTCGTGGCCCCGCTGCAGCCCTTCGTGGCCCCCTCACTGCCTTTCGCGGCCCCGTTTCGGCCCTTCGTGGCCCCCTCGCTGCCCTTCGTGGCCCCGTTGCAGCCCTTCGTGGCCTCCTCGCTGCCCTTCGTGGCCCCGTTGCAGCCTTTCGTGGCCCCCTTGCTGCCCTTCGTGGCCCAGTTGCAGCCCTTCGTGGCGTCCTCGCTGCCCTTAGTGGCCCCGCTGCACCCCTTCGTGGCCCCCTCGCTGCCCTTCGTGGCCCCGTTGCAGCCCTTCCTGGCCCCAAGTATGTTTACCCTTCGTGGTCCCCGCTCGTTCGCGCCTGTCGTGGCCCCATCTGCATGCGTTTCGTGGCCCCGTTGCAGCCCTTCGTGGCCTCCTCGCTGCCCTCCGTGGCCCTGTTGTTGTCCTGCGTGGACCCGTCCGTGCCCTGTGCAGCCCAGTACACGTATGCCCTTCGTGGTCCCCGCTCGTTCGCGCTCGTCGTGGCCCCGTATGCATGCGTTTCGTGGCCCCGCTGTCGCCCTACGTGGCCCCCTCGCTGCCTTTCGTGGCCCCGTCGTTGCCCTCAGTGGCCCCGTCGTTGCTCTGTGGCCCTGCATTAGCTGCCCTTCGTGGCACCCGCTTGTTCGCGCCTTTCGTGGCTTCATACGCATGCCCTTCGTGGCCACGCTGTCGCCCTTCGTTGCCCCCTTCCTGCCCTTCGTGGCCCCGCTGTCGCTCTCGCTCTCGGTCTCGCTCTCGCTCTCGCTTTCGCTCGTCGTCGTCGTCGTCCTCGTCGTCGTCGTCGCCGTCGCCGTCGTCGCCGTCTTCGTGGTCGGTCCCCTGTCCGTCCCTCGTGGGGTCGGGCTGCCGCCGATCAGCGCTGGCCGACGGTCCGCGGCCGCCCCGCCGCTTGCCGGGGCCCGGCCTTCAGGGAAGAAAGATCTACCCCCCCAAAGGGGTTCGATCGAAGACGAAGAGGGCGGGTATCGAGGGTTTGGGAAATACACGTTGAATGGCACTCGAGCAGATAAGAGCGAACCGTCCTACAATGATTGTTGTTGCTGTTGTTGTTGTTGTTGCGGCTGTTGTTGTTGCTGTTGTTGTTGTGGTTGTTGTGCTTGTTGTTGTTGTTGCTGTTGCTGTTGCTGTTGCTGCTGCTGCTGTTACTGTTGTTGTTGTTGTTGTTGTTGTTGATGATGATGATGATGATGATGATGATGATGATGATGATGATGATTATGTTGTTGTTGTTGTTGTTGCTGTTGTTGTTGTTGTTGCTGTTGTTGTTGTTGTTGTTGTTGTTGTTGAAGGTTACACATTTAGCAAATATTGTTGCTGGACACCTTACAGGTGCCCTGGCGCTCTCGCCGAGGCGCCGGCTGCATTTTCTTTGAAAATGAGGCTCACTCTCATGTGGTTTGGGGGACCGCCAAAACTGCCCCCCCAACAACAAGCAGCCGTGTCAACAAAACCTGCGCTCCCGCTCGAGACTTCCTCCCGTTTTAATTTGGACAGGCGCGCTAGTCTTTCTCTCATCGGCGCCGCCCCCCAGCAACAACAACGCTCACGCTCGAGACTTCCTTCCTTTTTTATTAACGGGGGTGCTCTTGCTCGCCGCCGACAGCCCCTGTCCCGACAAAACCAGCGCTCCCGCCTGAGACATCGTCCCGTTTTACGCTGGACTGGCGCTCTTTTCTTCTCCTCCTCCTCCTCCTCGTCGTCCTCCTCCTCCTCCTTCTCCTTCTCCTTCTTCTCCTTCTCCTCCTCCTCCTCCTCCTTCCTCCCCCCTCCCTCCTCTTCCTCCCTCTTCCTTCCTCCACCCCCTTCTTTCCTCCCTCCTCCCTCCTCCGTGCTCTGTCCCTCTTTCCTCCCTCCTCCTCCCTCCCCCTTCCCCAACTCGACTATCCTGCAGCGACGGATTGCAGACATGGAGGCTAAGCGAAATAAGTTGCTGCCGAAAGTGGAAGAGGATGATGTCTTCAGGTGGACTAAGCTGGTGCGCGCTACCACGGTGCTGGAGGACGACGAGCGGTCTGAGTTCATCGGTCGCACGGAGGCTTGGGCAGGACGTGCCGCTGCACGCACCTCCTATCAGTCGAAGAAGAAGAAGAAGAACAAGAAAAGAAGAAGTACGCTGGCTGGCTGGCTGATCTGTGGAAGGCTAAACCTGGAGTCTTGCATCGCCAGGTGAAGCCTCAGGGGCAGCGGCGCTTGGACATGAGTGGGGGCGTGTTTGGCAGCCACGTGAGACTAAGCAGCAGATCCTGGACGCTCTGGACCTGGCTCGACTTCGGATTCGAGAGGACCCTCCTGAGGCGATCTCTGTGGGCGACCTCCAGCGCACACTACACATCATGCCAGGTGGGAAAACCAAAGGAGTTGATCTGATCCGACCTCGTGACATGCTGCGGCTACCTGAGGAAGCGCTGCAGCAGTACACGGACCTACTCAACCTGATTGAGACCGAAGGAACCTGGCTTCCCCAAGTGATGGCCGCTCTTGCTGCGATGGCGCCGAAGAAGACAGGTGGTGATCGAATGCGGGGGGTCCTTCCTCATATCGCTCGCACTTGGAGCCGTATCCGAGGTGCCGCCTCGGGCGCTTGGAGTGACGGATTGCATGTCTTCTGGTGCGCAGCGATGAAGGGCTCCTCGGCCTTGCCTGCGGCGCTGGACTTGGCCAAGTTGTACGACCACGTGAAGTTGGCTCGCCTGATAGAGGTGGGGTTGGACGAGGACTTCCCTGTCATCTGCTTACTCTTAGAGGTCCAGCTCTGCCTGAGCCCGAGCATCTTGCGAGCGCGTTGCTGAGCCTATATATGCAATTCAAGGGATTGTGGCAGGGTCCCCGAGAGGAGTCATTCTAGCTCGCCTCGTCGTACTCCCGACATTGACGCATGCCCAGCGGCGTGCGGAAGGGGCGACAGCGTGGACCTTCGTGGATGATGCCGTGGCGAGGCACGAAGGCACAGCGCGATCGGTCTTGCAGCAGTTGGTCAAAACTGGTGGTGAGTTGAAGTCGGCGCATGATCATGCTGAGCTTCCCGTCTCTGACAAGACTGCGGTGCTCTCGAACAACAGGCAAGTGCGAGAGCGATTGGGGCGCAACCTGCGTCGTCGAGGAGTCCCTGTCTCTGCGACGACTACGGCCGCGGACCTCGGCGTCGACGTGGCAGCGGGCGCGCGCAGGGTCCAGGAGAAGGCGGGGGGGCGTGCACGAGCGGCCTCCACAAGGACCAAGGAGATCGCGCTCATGAGGAGCACGGCACAGCAGGCTCGCATCGCCGAGGGTCCGTGGGCCACTGGGTCGCTCCCCCAGGGAGTATATGGCCATCAAGTTCGAGGGCTCGCTCGACGCGCTCTACTTCGATGGCGTCGGCAGGCGGCAGCTGCGGCCGCTGGTCAGGCAGCGGGTCGCTGCCTCGCGACACTCTTGGGGGTCACTTTTGACGGAGCCGATCCTGGGGTCCAGCTTCGCGTGCAGTTGCTTCGACAGTGGATTCTGTTCTGGCAGGATCAGCCGCACCTGCACCAGCGCATTCGACGGACTTGGTCGTTGCTCAAGACCAAACTCACCATCGCGGGCCCGAAGATCTGGTCATATGTTACGGGACCTACGGGTGCAGCGATTGCGACGCTGTTGGAAGCTGGCTGGGGCCCCAAAGCGGCTGACTGCTGGCAACGCGTGCGCGATGAATACTTAGGGGAATGTAGGCTCCCAGATGATGGAGTTGAACTAGTCGACCTCGACTGCGAGTCCGTCCTCGACGATTTCAGCGACGACCTCCAGAGCAGGCTCTGGGCGACGGCGGCGGCGCACGAGCACGGCGCCTCCCTCGCCTCGGGAGCTGACCTGGTCACGATCAAGGTCGAGCCTTGGAGGTTCTTGTCGAGTGGAAAATATCGTCTCTGGCTTTGAATAATAACTGCGTTGTCTCAGGGGGTCGGTGGGCTCGAGGACGCCTATCAGGCTGGGTATCAGGTCAATCGTCTGTGTGATCGTTGTAACATGTTGTAACTCTGGGGCCATCGAGGACCCCCCCCCGCAGACTCTGGAAGTGCTCGGCTAATGAGGGCCCAGAGGTTTCTGCCAGTGATCACCTTGTGCCCCAAGCGCTCGCGGGTCTGGGGCAGGGCCCAGCTCTTTGGCTTAGAGGTGTCCCTAGCCTTGCCCCCACTACTCCCACCTTTGCCTCGTGGGGCAGGGGTGGGGTGGAGGTGGTGGGTCCTGACAGTGCGGGTCGGCCTCAGTGGGGGGCCTGCAGAGACCCCCATGAGCGACTCACTCTGTTCGGGGGCGGCTCTGGAGGGGCCTTTTCAGATGATTCTCGGAGGCGCCGGTCTGGTGGGTCGGTTGCGGCGCTCACCCCAGACGAGGCCGGTGCGTGGCGAGGCCACTTTGGCCTCTTCCGCCCGCTCGAAGGTAGACGGCAGACGGCGCCGCGTGCTGAATTGCTCGCGTTTTGCATTGCGGTTGAAGAAAGCTCGGGGCCTCTGACGTTTGTGACCGACCACGAACCTCTCCTCAGTGGATGGGGTCAAGGCTGCGCTCGGAGGCCTTCTGGAGCTTCGACTCGGCGCCCCAAGAACTGGGCACTCTGGGCCAGGCTTCGCAGGGCCTTGAGCAAGAACCTGGGCGCGATGTGGCCGTGGCGTGGACCCCGCCCGATCAGGGCGAGGCGCCTGAACCCGTTTTATGCATGCGGTACGATTGTGGCAGATGCATGGGTTGGCAGAGGTGCTGCCAAGAATTGGACCGCTGCGTGTGATCCCATTCCGTGCGCAGATCAGTGGGATGCGAGAGCGGCCCTTGTCCGTGCTAGAGCGAGGGCCATTATCAAGAGCATTGGCTCCGACAAGGTTTTGCGGGGGGAGAGAGAGAGAGAGAGAGAGAGAGAGAGAGAGAGAGAGAGAGAGAGAGAGAGAGAGAGAGAGAGAGAGAGAGAGAGAGAGAGAGAGAGAGAGAGAGAGGGTGGGTGTCGCTCGTCAGGCCCCCCTGTCCACGCGTGCTGTGTGTCTCGAGGCCTCGACCCACCAGTTCGAGCGTTGTGGGGAGAAGTGGCGGTGTGCCATGTGTGCGCAGCTGGTGAGTGATTGTAGATTGGACGAGACGGCTCTCGCCCAGTGCCCTGGCCCGCCCCCTGTGCCTAGCCCCGTCGCTCGGCGACTTGTCGCGTCTGGGGGGGCGCGGTGGTGTTGGAGGCTGGGGGGGGGGGGGGGAGTGTTCAACTGTCAGTCTGCACACCCCTCACACCGCTTGGTTGAGATGCCTAAGTGGAGGGTGATATTGTGCACTGCGTGTGGTTCGCGCTCCACTTTCAGATATGTGAATCTCTTGGAGTGCTGCCCGCCTGCGCCATCGCCTGAGGGTCAGGTGGTGTTGATGAGCCGTGTGCTGACGGGCTTGCGCCCTTCCCACAAGGGCCCGTTTCGGGCCGTCCGTGAGGCGCAGCGCCGCGATGCTGCCGAGAAGGCCCGAGCCCGAGCGATGAGCCACAATTCGGCGGTGCAGGGCCCAGTCAGTGCGAGTCCCTCGCAGCCCCTTGGACCCCCACCCGTGGGAGAAGCTGAGGCTGCGGGGGTAATTCATTTGTTCGAAGTTTTGGATGAACTTTTTGAGGGCCGAGGAGAGATGATGGGTGAGGAGGGCGATGCGGGAGGAGCGAGGGGCTCGTCGTCGTCGTCCGTGGCAGAGGGGGGCGAGGGCGCGCGCGCTGCGCGCGGTGGCCGCGCGATTGCGCTCCGCGCCGTCCTCGTCCACGGGCCCGACTGCGCCGCGTTCGGTGACGAGGGCGGCCCCGCCCCTGCCCCCTCCCGCCCACTCTTCGGATTCCGACTGAGGCGTGCAGCCTGGGTTTGAGGCCCCCTCTCTTCCGCGCGGCTTCTCGGACGCTTTTCGTTTAGCCCAGTTAGTTCTCCTCCCCCTCCTCTTCCTCCTCCTCCTTATCCTCGCCCTCCTCCTTTTCCTCCTTCCTCCTTCCCCCTCTCTCTTCCTCCCTCTTCCTCCCTCCACCCCCTCCTCTTCTCCCTCCTCCCTGCTCCCTCTCCCGCCCCTCTTTTCTCCCTCCTCCTCCCTTTTCCTCCCTCCTCCCCCCTCCTTTCCCTTGTCGTCCCCCTTGTCTCCTCCCTCCTCCTGCCTCCCTCCCCCCTCCTCCCTCCTCCCTTCCCCTTCCGTCCTCCCTCGTCGCCCCCGATTGATACTTCCTCACCTCTTATTCAAGACTGGGGCCCTCGTTTCGGCATCACCTGTGGGGGGCTTCGAAAAGTCCCTGTTGAAACTTAAGTATCGAATACATGCCATTTTTGGAGAGCACAGATAACGCGGAGGAGGAGGAGGAGGAGGAGAAGAAGGATGGCGGATTATTTCCATGGGGCCCGAAGGATCGAGGGTCCAAGGATTGACTTCAGGGATTCCATGAGAGGGTGTGGAGGGGCAGGTGGAGGATGCGAGCATGGGAGCGGCAGCGCTTGGGAGCGTGAACGTTCAGGGTCACGCGCCGAGGCCGCAGGATGGTGGCGTAACAGTTCGAACGAGCAATAAGGACCACCTCGTCCACGGAGGTGCTGCTACGACAACTCCTCCTCCTTCCTCCCCCTCCTCCCCTTTCCATCCTCCTCCTCTTCTCCCTTTTCCTCTCCTTCATCTTCCCTTCCCTCCCCGTCCTCTCCCCCCCTCCTCGGAGATGCGGGGCGTGCGCAAGGCGATTGCGGTGGCGATGTGCCGTCCGAGTTGTGGATGTCAAAGTTATTCGGAAGAGGTGGTGGCAATATTTTCTTGGGCGGGAGATCTGGGTGAGGGAATTTCGGGGCCCGCGTGCCATGAGAATCGTCCATGTGGTACCCAGAAGGATGCGTGTGACATGTGGAAGCGTGGCGCATGGCGGTAAACGGATTATTGTCGTTGGTTTCGTCATGGCCGTCGGCCGCCGGCCCTCGTGGAGCCTTCGCGGGCCGAGGCCCCGCGCCGTGCCCTCGGGCCCTGGGGCCGTTTTTCAACCGGCGGCGCCCGCGGGCCCAGGCAACTGGGCGCATGGTCTCTTCGGCCCGCGGGCTCCACGACGCTGCCTCCTCGGCCATCCAAGCGATGAAGATCGCAACCTTTCGAGTGGGGGATCGACTCATCCTGGATTTACCCCGCATTGATTTCCCCGCCGAATCCACGGAAGATGCGGCCGGGCCCCTTCCCAGAATCGGGTCTTCTGTGGAGACGAGGCCCGAAAGCGCCACCCGGGTGCCAGACTGGAGGAGAAGCGTCGGGGCTGCAGGGATCCGGGGTCCGGGGGTTCCTCGTCTCGTCGTTGTCGATCTCCGAGGTTCTTTTCTTTCTCCCCATCCGTGCCTTCGACACCACGCGCGTCGACAAGCGGGAGGCGGAAGTGGAGGTCCTCCTCTTTCTCCTCCTCTTCCTCTTCTTCCTCCTCCTTCTCTTCCAACAGCTTGCTTCAGACAAATGATGATGATGGTGGTGGTGATGATGATGATGCTGATGTTGTTGATGATGACGGTGGTGATGCTGATGATGCTGATGGTGATGGTGATGATGATGATGATGCTGATGATGATGCTGTTGATGATGATGATGGTGATGATGATGATGCTGTTGACGATGATGATGATGATGATGATGATGATGATGATGATGATGATGATGATGATGATGATGATGATGATGATGATGATGATGGTGGTGGTGATGATGATGATGATGAAGAAGAAGAAAAAGAGGAGGAAGAAAACGATGAGGAGGATAACCTCCTCCTCCTCCTCACGTGCGGCAGCGGGCCGCCCTTGCGATTTCGGGAGAGGCCCGAGGCCTCCCGCTTGTCGGCGCGCGTGGTGCCGAACGTACGGGCAGTCTGGGCCGGTTGGGAAGAGGACCGCCGCCACCGCCAGGAGGGGTGGGGGGTCAGGCGGGCCTCGGATCGGGTTAACGTCGGCGGCGAGCGTGGGGGGAAATGAGAAGGATGAGGCCTTCTCAGAAGGCGGCGGGACTTTTCAGAAGCCCTCGCGAGCTCTGAGAAGTTTTCTCCGTCTTCGGGGAAGACTTAGAAAGCTTCTCGGACGGCCTGGGGAGTTCCGAGCCTTCTGAGAAGGCCCGCCCCTTCTCACTTCCCCCCCATTCGCTCGCCGCCTGCTTAATCGCCCCAGGACATTCCAGAACGCTCTCAAAGCGTTTTGGAACGCTGTGGAACGGCCGCGGCGCCCGATGCATCCTGCAGGCCCTCCGGGCTCTCAGCCATCCCTCGTTGATGCCGATCCGGTTTTGTCCCGATTCTTCTCCGGGGGCAGAGGAAGGCTTCGGGGGCTGTGTGCCTCTCTGGGCGCTCCCGCGGGGGCTTTCTGCACACGAGACAGCAGATCCTACAAGACCTGGGCGGCGGCGGTGGTGAGACTCCTTCCCCAATCAGCCTCTCAGTCTCCTCTCGGTCTCAATTTCTCTCTGTCGCTCTCTCTCTCTCTCTCTCTTTCTCTCTCTCTCTCTCTCTTTCTGCCCATCTCTCTCTCTCTTTCTCCCTGTCTCTCTCTCTCTCTCTCTCTCTCTTTCTCGATCTCTCTATTCCTCCTTTCATTTCTCGTTATCCTTCTCTTTCTATGTATGTATGTATGTATATATATGTATATATATATGTATGTATATATCGTTCTCTTTCTCTCTCGCTCTCCCTTTTGCTCTCTTTCTATTTTTTCTCTCTCTCTCTCTCTCTTTCTCCTTTTCTTTCCCACTATTTTTTGTCCTCTCGCTCTCTCTCCCCCCCCTTACAATTCCCCCTCTCTCTCTGTCTCTCCCTCTCTGTATCGCGTCCTCTTTTCATCTATCTCGTTCTCCTTCTCTGTCTATCTAATGGCCATCGGCCCATCCCGCCACAGTGCCTGGGTTGTGGGTCCTAGTCGTAGGCATGTAAGATGTTTGTTTGGATGTCGCGGGAGGCCTGTCGGGGGCCTCGTGGAGACAGTTTGAAGTCTGTTGGGGCGTCTCGGGGTCTCCTGGAGGCCTCTTGGTGCCTCTTGGGGGGCTCTTGGGGCCTCCTGGTGGCATCTTGGGGCGAAAGGCTCGAATTGTCGGTTCGGGCCCAAGAGAGCCCCAAAACGGCCCCAAGGGGCCGTTTGGGGGCTCTCTTGGGCCATCTTTGGGCGGTATTGTGGGCTTCTTGGATCGTCTTGGAGCGTCGGAAGCTCGAACATGTGAGAATTCCAAAAACAAAGAAAGAACGAACGTGCAAACAATAAATTCATGATTTTCACCTCTCGGGGCTCTCTTGGGAAGACATCTCGGGGCGCCCCGAAGGCTACTTGGAGCCACCTTGGGCCTCTTGGACCGATTGTGTAGCGATTCTGGGCACCCTTGGATTGTCTGGGCAGCCTCTTGAGGGTCTCTTGGCCCGTCTTGGGGTCTTCTTGGCCCCGAAAAACCCAGCCGGGAACACTCCCCGGGGTCCATGGGGGCACGCGACACTCCCACGAGATTCCAGCAATTTTGCGTCTGGGCCGGTGCAGTACTTTTGAGGCTCGAAGACGGAGGCTCAGGGTTGAGCAAGGGACCCGGGGACGCTCCGCTTCGTGCCACAGGGGCACGTGGCGGATCTCTTTCTCCCTCATGATATTTTGTTTGTTTCCTCTCTCTCTCATTCTCTCTCTCATTATATTTTGTTTGTTTCCTCTGTCTCATCCTCTCTCTCTCTCTCTCGGGTGCGCCGCGCTTGCCCGGCGACCTGCGGGCACGCGTGTCCCAATGGTCCGATCTCTCTCTCTCTCTCTCTCTTTCTCTGCCTCGCTCCCTCTCGCTCTCTCTCTCTCTCTCGCTGTCTCTCTCTCTCTCTCTCTTTCTGCCTCTTTCTCTCTCGAACTCGTCTCGCGGGACCCCTGCGTCTCTGCGAGCCAGGGTACCCGCCCCCTCCCCGAGGTCTTCTCCTAATTTCTGGACTCCCTGCGGCACAGGGAACTCGAGCGGCGCCCACCGAGACGCCTGGCTGCCTGCAACCGACCCCCACCATTTCTGCCAACAGCTGGCCAACTACGGAGGTATCGGTGCGCTCTCGCGCCAGCTCGACGACGACCCTCCTCCCACCAGCACCGCGGCACCTCCTGCCTGCCCCCCGTGGTGGTCCCTTGCCTGCCTCGCCCTCTGGTCCTCCTCCCTCGGAGCTCGAGCGGCGCCCGCCTCTCGTGTTTCTCAACGCGCCGCGGCCGCCATCGGTAAGGGCCGCCGCGCTACGAGTCCGGCTCCTCCGGCAAGGGGCCCACGTGCTGCGGGGCAGATGTTCTCATTCGCTCGCGAAGGCGCATGCATCGCGGCCCTCCGCGCAGGTTGTGCCGATCGCGCCCCCGCCTCCGCGCTCGACCAGCTCATCGTCAAAGTCCATGGCGAGCCTGCAACTGTCTTCCGATGTAACAGAAACACACAAAAAAACGTGTATATATACCCGTATAAAACAAAGTGCCGAAGCCTGGCCCCCAGCGCATGTGTGGCCACCGCAATGTCAGCTGGACGCAGGACTACCACCAGCGCATCGAAGACGTCCGTGCGGTTCCGACTCCATCCCGCGGCGGCGGTGCTTCAGATGCCATGGACTTCCCGCTCCCAAGTCTCGACCCAGGCGACTGGTCCGTCCCAGTCTCAGCGTGCCCGACACGCAACACAGCAGGCGACGCCTTCACCCCCAGAACGGTTGTTTTGGCAGCTACGCCGACAGGGTGTCCCACTCGATGGCCGTCCTCGTCGTGCGACGTGTTTCCCAAGCTACCAAAGCTGCGCCATCCCACGTCGACGGCGCGTTCAGTCAGCTCGGAGGCGCAAAGGCTGCCTGTCTACATAACAGAGCCGAGGCAGCCTCGGACGCCTCCCAGGCCGTCGCGACCCTCCACGTGGTCGACGCCGTCGTCGTTCGGGCCGAGGCCATTTCCACGATCTTTGCACAGCAGCTCTCTGGTGTCGCCCCGATATCATGGTCTAGCAGAAGGATCCAGCATATTATGCATGAGGAGATAACAAAAACAGTGTGGAACTTGAGCATTGTTTTTACACCCTTCTTGTAAAGGCCGCACAGTCGCCTGGAGGGCGATGCCGATTTCGCGGTGGTGAAGGTGATCTAATCGGTGCTAGTGGGCATCGTGGAGGGCGCGAGGATCCGGGCGAGGCGGGCTGAGCAACTGTTGCCACTTCATGAACTCTTGTGGGGAGCACACGGCATGCGGTGCCGTACGCGCGCTCGGGTCGCAACTCCCAGCTTAGCGTCAGGACGAAATTTGAGTTCGTTGGCCCAGGGATCTTCCTCCTCAGAATCACCCCGCTATCTCAGGATCTAGCCTCCCAAAGGTTACCTTCGGGCAGCTGCTCGGTGTATCGGCTCAGAGCAGCAGGGTCTCCTAGAGCCTGCTTATTCAACGACTCCTTGACCGTCCATCAGGGAGTACGCTCCCAGATGGTGATCCGTGCGGGATGATGTTCATCCTCATCCAGTCCGGTAATTTGATTTGGACTCCGCCAGAACCTCAGCGCGCGCGAAGCGCCCGCGTGGTTCTAGTATATGTATATATGTATTCCTCTCTCTCTTTCCTCCCCATCTCTCTCTCTCTCTCTGCATCCTTACCTCTGTCTTCTCTCCTCTTCCCCTCGTTTTTTTGTTCTCTCTCTTTCTCTCTCTATCTCTCTCTTTTTATCCTCTATAGTATCTCTCTGTGTCTTTCTTATTTATTATCTCTCTCTCACTTGCCCTTGTTGGGCTTCATTGGATCGAAGCTCATCGGAGTGGCGTCTTGTTGATCGCCCTCCGACGACACGGCCCGGGAGAGTTCCGAGCCAGTGGACAAAAAGGCGGGCGCTCCTTCCCATCCGTTTCTTCTCTTCTTCCTGTTTACTCCAGATTTCGTAATAAAGGGAGGGGGGTCTCATTTCGGGGGGGGTCTCTTCCAGGCTATCTTGGAGGGCCTGGGGGGTCTGGGGACGATGTTTTGGAGGGTTCTCCCACGGGGGAGGTCTGAAATGGCTCGTCTTGGAGGGTCCAGACCCACTCCCTTTTATTACGAAATCTGGAGTACCCTCACAACCCTCCCCTTCGTCCTCCGCGCTCTGCAGCCACGGTCGGACCGAGGTAGAGATCGAGGTCGGATCGGGGAGGGCACTCTAGTGGTATTTGTGCTTGTGGTGCGGTCTTGTGCATCCTGGGAAAAAGGGTACCCTTGGATGTTCTTCAGCTTGGTCTTGACAGATGTTCTTCGATTCGAGGTCCGGCCCTACACATTCTGAGAGTACTCGACCCTCTTCCCTGACCATGTGTTGCTGTTTGCCCGCCCGTCCTGTACAATCTTTTTACGCCAGACTCGGTCAAACTTGTCGTTCGCGCTCTTGCGCGCGCACGCGCGTGCGTGTGTGTGTGTGTGTGTGTGTGTGTGTGCGTATGTTTGTGTGTGTGTGTGTGTTTGTTTGTTTGTTTGTGTGTGTGTGTGTGTTTGTTTGTTTGTTTGTTTGTTTGTTTGTTTGTTTGTTTGTTTGTTTGTGTGTGAGAGTGTGTTCGTGTATGTGTGTGTATGCTTTCGGCGGTTAGCTGCGACCCTGGACGCTCGCGTGGAATGACGGATTCGACGGAGACCCTGGTTCCCTGCGGGGGATGACGGATTCGGCGGATAAGGCAGTCCCACGGCCTTCGGCGTACATCAGGCGGCAGCTGCCGTGCAGTTCCACCCTGGACGCCCCACCTTGCTGGCGTTTTTCTCTCCCACCAGCTTGGCCTCACGCAGCGCCCTCCCTGGATCCCCCTGCCTCGCTGGCGATGTTCACCACGCCAGCCTGGCTTTCTCCTACAGTCCATCTGGCGTCGGCTCTGTGCCGTTGTTGGAGGGGCCGGCCCACTGTCGTCCGGGCCTCCCTCGGGCACGGGACGATGGCCCCTTGGGTACTGTGGTCGCGCTGGAGTGGTTTAGCCTTCTGCAGTCGCTACAGCACCCTGGACTCATCCCCCTCATCAGGCAGGTTTTCGACGTCCCTCGGCAGCTCAGATCCCCTTGCCCGCACACGCCGCTGGGACGGCCTTGGGCCTGGCGCCCTACTGGCGACTCGCCCATCGTTCTTCTCGCCTGAACGCCCACCCAGCATTTGAGAGGATCGCACGTGCAGGTCACCCACCTGCTTCTGCTTGCACATCCACCTGTGTGGTCTGACGCCGCAGCGCGTAACACCGAATTCCCTGGCATTTTGCTCTGGGCTGCACGTTGCTCGAGCTTCCCTGGGTGCCAGATCTGCCAGCCAGCGCCCGCCCTGCTGCCCCAGCTGCCGCCTTGTGAGCTGGCCCGGCCGGTTTGAGTCGCGCCCAGTAGTTAATTAGGCTTGCCCGTCGGCCCGGACACCCTGCTCGCCGCCTGCGCTCTTCGCTTGCGGCCGCGACAAACAGCAAATGTGTGTGTGTATGAATGTGAGTGCATGCGTGCGTGCGTGCGTGCGTGCGTGCGTGCGTGCGTGCGCGCGTGTGTGTGTGTGTGTGTGTGTGTGTGTGTGCGTGTGTCGGTGTGTGTGTGTGTCCTTTTTAATGGCCGCATCTCCTTCTCC